TGATGTTGATGTTGATGTTGATGTTGATGTTGATGTTGGATGTTGATGTTGATGCTGACGTTGGATGCCGGCTCGGCGCTCCCAGTGTCTGCAGAGGTGACCTTCCTGTGGGGGAGGGGAGGCGGCGATGACCCTCATTTAGGCCATTCTGCGGCTGACAGTGAAATGCTGAACAGATCTGGGGTCAGGCCTCCCTCTGCCTCTCTGCAGGCCTCAGCTTCTCCCTCTGCCGCATGAGCTCGCTAATAAACAACCGCTCCTCATTACATCACTTCACAGCTGCTCCCAGCATGAGAATTAATCCGCCACATACTGTGCACACAAATAATCAGCCGGCGCATCGAACCCGGCAGGTTGCACAGTCTGTTCCCGGGATCTTCAATAACCTTTACGGAGCAGCTTCCGGTCGCGGACGCCTTTGATTGTCATTGGTGACCTGGTTCTGTGCATCGGCACAGCGGCCTCACAGCGTGTGCAGACAGACCGCGGTGGTGGGCGGAGCCTGTCCAAACGTGTTTCCTGAATTAGACGCAGCGCTTTGTTGATGCTGTTCTCCCGACATACTTCTGAGAACCGGGCCCAGTAGAGCCGTCAACATCCGGTTTTATTCTGCCGTCTCTGGTATCAGGGAGGCGTGAGGAGTGGATTCATTCAGCACCTTCCAACAGCCACGAAGCAAAATGAACCAGAGAGTTTCTCTTCTGTCACATCTGCTTTTCACCAAAAGTGACACATTCAGCATGAATCAGCCTCTTTTCTTCCGTCCGTCTCAATGAGAGAATTAAGAGCTCACTCGTTATGCTATGTGTCCACTGGGGCGACTTTCCCGGGCTTCTAAACATCACCCGCTTGCTCGCCGTGCACGAGCCGCCGCTAGCTGGTCACATGACAGCCGCTCCCCAATCACCAGACGGCAGTCCTGTAGAAGGAAACTTTCGCTTTTATTACGAAAACCGCTCAGCGAAAGTATTTCCGGAAACATTTGAGACGAGAAATAAGCTATGCAGCTGAATCTGTCATTTTCACGAGGCGTCCGACCTCCGCTCCCCGCGCCTCATTTGCATAAAGTAGACTTGACTTCTGATTTATGCAAATGAGCTGCAGGCGGCTCGCGGCGACGCTACATTACATATTTATAATGTGAATATGCTACGCTTGATAAAAATAATTTATGTTTCCAGTGATTAAATGTAAAAATACGTTTATCTGTTAAATGTTGCTGTTTAAGTGGATGTAATTTACAGGTTTATTCAGTTTTTATGGTAATTTTTAACATTTTATTGTCTGTAATCCAACTCTTTGAAAAGTTCCAGTCAGATACGTGAAACAGAGGTATTTTCTTTACAGAGTACTGGTGCGGTTCTGCACCATGCATGTGTTGGAAGGAGGTCGGCAGGATGTAAACACAGACGCCTCATTATCCGGCCGCGCTGCGTCTTAATTGTGCAGCTTTTAATTGTGTGTTCGTTCTGATTCCCTGGCACAGAAAAAGTCAATCTGTCGGTTGGATTCATCGCTAACGAGAAGAGAAGCCTCGTTAACGTCGCCCAGAGCCAGCGGTGGAGGTGAAGCTGCTCAGATCGCTGCTGTGAGGAGCGACGTGTCGGTGCTGCTGGTACCGAACCATCTGATAGAAGAACCTCGGCTCAGTTATCGCTGATCTGACTGAGGTTTTTGTCATATGTAGAAGGACATTTGCTAAATTTGATAAAGATTCATCAATTAGAGAGTTTTTTGCACACTGAATTTTACTATTCCTTAATCTGTAATGTTCAGAATCTTTATTTCATGCAACAACAAATATCTGTAAAATATTGATCATTTTTCTAATTTAAATACAGTCAAATGTTGTCAAAGAAAAAAACATAATTTTAAAAATACAGATTTTTCATCTGGATGTTATTTATAGTTTTTACTGAACGGTTGACGTGTAAATTCAGACTTTTTTCTGCGATTTTACTGGTTCCTGTCTGTAGTTTTTTTTAAAAACAGGGAAAATCTTTAAAACACCTTTTAAAAAAAAAAAAAATTATTCTACTATTTTACTTTTCTTTTTCAAATCTTCATTATTATTATTTTTCTTCTAAATAACGCCAGATATCTGTGAAATAGTCCGATTTTTAGTTGATTTAAATCGATCACACAAAATGTTTTTGTAAAAAATCGGTTTACAGTCATAAACCAAGTCCCAAGTTAAGTTTAACACTTTAACAAGTCCCAGGTCATGACCAACAAGTCCTAAATCGATACCATATCAACAAGTCCAATGTCTAGCCCAAGAAGTCCAAAGTCAACTCCCAAGTCAAGCCCAACAAGTCTCATGTCTAGTCCAATGAATCCAAAGTGGAGTCCAACAAGTCTCAAGTCAAGCCCAACAAGTCCAATAAGTCTTATGTCAAGTCCCAAGTAAAGTCCTAAAGGCCCAAGTCAAGTCCAGCGAGTCCCATTTCAAGTCAAAGCTGCTATACAGGAAACCTCCGAACAGCTTTGTATGCAATCAGTGATCCAGCAAGTCCAACAAGTCCCAAGTCTCTGCCAACCAGTCCCAGGTCAAGACCAATAGGTCCCAAGTCATGTACCAAGTTAAAACCCACAAATTCCAAGCCAGGTACCAAGTGTCACGGAATAACTAGGCTGGTTGACCCAAATGCAGAAATGACACTCAGGAGAGATGGAATCAAAAATAAGGTTTATTGTAGAAACTGATGTTGTAAAGATGAGAATGAAAACGAGGCGGGGTTGTTACCAGTTGTGCGGTGATAGTCCTGGGAGCAATGGACAAGACTTGGGTTCGATGCAGGTGGGAAGCACAAAATGTGGATCAGGAACATAGGGAAAAAATCCTCAATGAAGGCGAGGCAGGAGCAGAAGCTCGGAAAGAGGCACGAAGGGAGGCTCGGAGGAAACTCGGAAGAAATACTCGGGTGGTGGCTAGAAGTTGCCATGTAGGGCAGCACTCAGGCAAAGAGGGAATGTTGAAGGCTCCTCTTATACCGGTGGTGACGACCCAAATGAATTGCAGGTGTGTAGCTCACACACCTGCAGGGAATCAGTCACTGAGAATTCCTCCAGGACGCCCTCTGGTGGACGCCTGGAGGAGAACAAAAACACAGGGCCAAAATCACCATTCCCTGACACCAAGTCTAGACCAACCAGTTCTGAGTCAGTTCCCAAGTCTGGACCAGTCAGTTCTGAGTCAAGTCTCAAGTTAAGATCAACAAGCCACAATTCAAGTCCCAAGTCTTGGCCAATCAGTCTTGAATCAAGTCTCAGGTTAAGACCAACAAGTCCCAAGTCAAGTACCGGGTTGAGATTTTAAAAAAAAAAGAAAAAAAAAAGGACCAAGTCAAGACCAATAAGTCACAAGTCAAGTCCTGCATCATATCCAACAGGTCCAAAATCAAGATCAACAAGTCTCAAGTCAAGTCTAAACAAATCCCAAGTCAAGGGCCAAGTCAAGACTAACAAGTCCCAAGTCAAGACTAAGCAGTCACATGTGGCGGTCGATGAACTTGGTGTGGGTTCTCAGTGCCAACACTGAATCGGTTGTTCTGAACTTTGTCCTGCTGCGTCTACCTGAGCGTGTTCCAGGTGAGGATCGTATTTCAGAAGCCTCCCCGTGGACACGCCCAGCGCTGCTGCTCGGCAAAGAAACAGCCCTCAGACGTCTCTCTCAGTCCAAAGGTTCGTACCGAAGAGCGTTTCCTTCCCAGATGGACTCTCACAGCAAAACAGGGAAGGTTTACCTGCAGCCACACAAAGCTGGAAAAGTAAGTTCAGAACACTTTGTTGTTTCTCGGTCGACGCCAACATTTATGAGTCTGAGTTGCAGCCGTGTTCACTTCTGGGGGATAATAACTGTCTAGTGTTGTGATTCTAGTAATAAAAAACACCATTTACCTAAAAAACTGATGCGAGACGACGTAGAACAGTCTGAGAATAAAAGAGGACGAGCTGCCGTGCTGACTCAGCATGATTTAACTCTTCAACATGTGTACAGATATTATTTTCCCCTCGGCTTCATTCAGATTCCACAGCGAGCAGAGTGAAGGAAAAGCCAGCCACAGCTCCGGTAGGAAGGTTTGTTTCTGTGTGTGTTGCTCAGATGAGACTCCAGAGCAGGAATCCAAAAGAACAAGTTGAAACACAGCAGTTTGCTCGCTACACATTCCTGCACAGCACAGACACGCTCAGGGTCAGAGAGAGCAGCAGGTTCCCGACACGCCGCCGACAGCCTGAGATCACCAACATTTGATTTGTAACTGCAGCCCTGAAACAACTAAGACACACGCACGTTTCTTCTTTTACTTTGAAAGGATCAGAGGTGTGTGGAGGTTTTCTGTGCTGGCGTCGGTCTGTAGCTTTACGTGACCCACAAACAGAAAGTGTGACTAATGTTTACCTCTCTGTGTCACACGTGGGAGGGCTGAAACTGAGAATCCCATTGATAAGGAGAAGCTGAAACTAGTGCATGACGTAGGTGCAGACCGAACGCATCAGAGGGCGGGACGTCGCCACGCAACGCCGCTCGAATGTCAGATGACTCAAAATTGCACCACGTCTCAGTAACTGCATTATCTGAAAAGACAAACACTTGCAGAGCCTTCACTGGAAATTCAAGCTCCAAGGTAAAAACTCAGTGAATGAATCCAGGATGTGGTTTCCAGTCAGTCTAACTGCATGAACAGGGTTCTACAAGGAGCAGAACCTTCTCAGCTCTGGACCTATGGTCTGTCTGCATCATGGCTCCACATGGAGAAGACATGAACAGAGGAGGAGAAACATCTGACTGAGAGACTGGACAAAGATGGAGAAGGATCCAGAAGATCAGTGAGCAGCTAGAACCCAGTGCAGCCCAGTGTGAGCAGGAACCAGGAGGTCCAGAAGGAGCCACAGCAGCACTGATCAGGGCTGCAGTGGTCGTCCTCCTACAATGACTCCACGGACAGTCAACTACTGTCACTATGGAGCTGTGGACACCAGACAAAGGCAGCTGCTTCAGACTTGGCACAGGGCTGATCAATGGAGACCAGAGTTAGTGTGAAGCTCACACAGTGTGAAGGACACTTCAGAACATCAGCCTCTATGGACGGAGGAGCAGAACTAAACCTGGCTGCTGCTCACAGCTAAACTTCCACATCAAAGTTCACCAGAGAACATGAACAGAAGCCTGATGGATGCTGGAGAACATCCTCTGGTCAGATGGAGATCAATGTGTTGGGCTCACATGGAGTCCAGATGTTTGGTGTGAACCTGACCAGGACCACCACAGTGGATCATGGTCCTGCCAGTGAAGCACGGAGGTGGCAGCATCATGATGTGGGGCTGCATGAGGGCAGAAGGTGTTGATGACGTTTCTAGAAGCTCCATGAATGTCTGAGGATGAACCAGGATACTGGCTGACCAGATGAAGAAGAGGAACATTCCAGCAGGAGAACATCCACAGAACAACATCATCAAGAGCTTCTACAGCAGAACCAAGTGGAACCAGGACCTGGACAGTCTGAGTCCTGGTCTGAGTCCACCAGAAGCCCTTTGAGGTGTTTTCCAGAGAAAGGTAGAGCAGCTGAAGGAAACAGAGTGAAGAACATGTGAGCAGAACTTAGTGGACTCTGGTCTCCTCCATGCTGAGGAGTCTGTCAGCAGAGATGAAGGAACCAGAGATGGACTCACTTTAGGTTCAGTTCCTGCTGTGGAGCCTGAATTTTTAATATAATGAATCTAATCTGTTAATTTTTCATCCTTCTCCTCAGAAGTGGAAGCCGGTGTGGTTGTCTCTGTTTCCGCCCAGCAGCAGTGGAGTCGGCCGGCTGGAGATCCAGGACATGGGAGGTACAGGATCTTCTGTCACTGTTTGTCTCCTTTGTTCTGTCGGTGGTGGAAGCATCGTTCTGACCATGCAGCGGTCAGAGGTTCAGGTTCAGTTTGTGGTTTATCGCTCAGCCTCTGGAGCACTTTTCTGAACCTTCAGCTGCAGGTTGAGATGCTTTCTGACAGCGAGCAGCTACCAATCTGACGGTGTTTGAATCTGACGTAGGAAGATTTCACTCTCAGCGCTCCACAAGTCTGAACTGCATGAAGTCACATTTGAAGATGTGAACGCAGGAACAACACAAGATGTGAAAAACTGCAGCAGAAACTAATTAAAACTGTAAATCACAGAGTAAATAAGATAAAATAAGAGAAGATAAAACTTTATTAAGGGGTAGCAGGCAAGAAGTAACATCACACCTGAAGATAGAAGGAAATACTGCATCTGAAAATAAAGTAAAAATGAAATATTGCACATGAATTGAAGACATGAAACTGCACAGACTATTGAGAAAACGGCAGATGATATAGTTTAAACCTAACTGGCTGGTGTTGGCTCCAGCGGTCCGCCTGCAGAACGGGGAGGAGTCAGACCAGCAGCGAGTCAGTGATGCTGCTGTTGTGAGGCCTGATCTAAAAATACAAACAACTCTGAGGCCACAGAAACGCAGCTCAGCGACGCCGCGTCCATTTTAGTCAGAGCGGCACTCGGCGGCGTCTGCTCGCTTCTAAAAGTGGCAGCAGGTTGTGTTTTATTCGCAGATACGTGCCGGAGCCGACACCAGGGCCAGAGGGGTTAACCTGCTCTGTTCAGCTGCCTGATGAGATTAGAGCAGGTGAGAGTTCGCTGTGCAGGCGGGAGGGATTCGTGCAGCGTCGTGCTGCCTCGAGTCCAGATGCATCAGTGTCATCTGGTGGCAGCTTTAAGAGAACGCCTGGCCCAGACGTTCACAGGTGGCTGCATCAAGAAAACCAGATCCCACGTCACAGGACGGTCCTTCGTCTACATGAAAGTTACTGAGGTGGGCGGCTGTGACTCAGCGGGTCGTCCACTGACTGCGAGGTGGTTCAATCCCCGGTCCCTCAGAAGTGTCCTCGGGCAAGACACTGAACCTGAAGTTGCTCCTGATGGCATGAATGGGAAACACCGTAAAGGGCCTCCAGCACCACTGAGGTAGAAAGATGTGAGTGCAGAATGAGTCTATCTGGAACCACTCTGGAGCAACTGGTGTGACTGGTGAAGGAGGCAGCACCAGCAGAGACGTCTTTGCACTTGTCAAACTATTTAGTCGCGTTTATTTGTATGGTGGCAACAAAACTGCAAAAAAACAAAAGAAAAACTAAAGCAAACTGCAGACAGAGAAGCTGTTTTTGGTCAAAGTCCTGCTTTCTGTTGCCAAAATATCTCCACGGACCGACGAGTGCTGCTCGATGCTGAGCAAAACCAGGATTCAGATCAATATTGAGACTATTTGTAGGTTTTAGGGACAAAACGTTTGTATAATTACTACAATCTGAGCGGGCTGCAGGTGGTTCAGTGGTTAGCACCGTGGCCTCACAGCTAGAAGGTCGCCGGTTCGCGTCCCGGTGAGGACACCCGGGATCTTCCTGCGTGGAGTCTCCATGTTCTCCCCGTGCAGCGTGGGTTCTCTCCGGGTTCTCCGGCTTCCTCCCACAGTCCAGAAACATGCTGAGGTTAATTGGTGATTGTAAATTGTCCGTAGGTGTGAATGTGAGTGTGCTTGGTTGTCTGTCTCTAAGTGTAGCCCTGTGATAGACTGGTTACCTGTCCAGGTGAACCTGCCTTCACCCTGAGTCAGCTGGGATAGACTCCGCCCCCCATGACCCTGGTGAGGATGAAGTGGTTTATAAATGATGGATGGATGGAAACTGAGCGCTGAACCTGGTGGCCAGGCTGCTGCTGTGAACAGGAACCTGGTCTCCATCAGTTAAAGTCCTGGTTCTGACTCTGCAGGTGGAGCTCCTTCACTCTCCTTTACATCCAGTTTCATATTCAGGGGCAGCAGATAAATCTGAGGGCCGATCTTTGGGGCTTTTTTTTCTCTAATCTCTGTGAGAAGTTCAGAAGGACGACTCACTGACTGTTGGACGTCTGAACTGTGCTAACGGCAGAAGCTAACTGTTGTGCTTCAGCGGCTCCTCGTGTTTTCCATTGAGTCAAATCTGCAGCAGGAGAAGCTCAAAGTAAAACGTCTTCTTCTAGCTGAGTGGAAAGAGCAACGCAGTAACTCAGAGAGCACAGTAACTAAGTGTACTTAGTTACTTTCCACCACTGCAGAAGTGACGAGCAGGGAGGAATTGTGCAGAGTCAGGAGGCAACAGGATGGATGGAGATGCTCCGTCTGAACTACTTCTGCACAGTTTCCACATGTGATAAATAATCCAAAGGACACGAGGTGGAGATTCAGACTGATGCAGACGCACAGCAGCACGACTGAGAGAAGGAGAATCGGCCGGTAGCTCCTGACCCAGCAGGTGTCTCCTCCTGCTCAGCTTTCAACTCAACACACATTCCATTTTAAGCTGTACGAGGTGAAGCACCAACTTCTGTTTATGACGTTTTTGTGTGTTGCGAGCCTGAAGGCTGTTTGAGGTGGTCTACAGACTGCTGCTGGACCGTAGCAGCGCTTGTTCCTGAGCTGTGTTGAGCACAGGATGTCTGGAGAACTTAGAAGCTCCTCCTCTGCAAACGAGCTGCATAAACAGAAACGGGCTGCAAAAGGAAAGCGCTGCATATCCAGTCACACAACAGAAGTGCCCCAGGCCTCTAGGGGCAGTAGTGAGCTTTTCACCTGAGGGGCAGGTAACGGTAGTTGAGGTAAAAGCTGTATGAAAGGTGCGTCTCCATGGATAAACATAAATACCAGAGAGTGGCAGTAAAACGCCACTTCAGCACCCAAATCAGCACAGTGACTGAGAAGCTGAAGACCCTTGAGGCCCGGGGCACCTCCGCTGTGTGACTGGATGTGCAGCCTTTTCTTTTTGCAGCATGTTTCTGTATATGCACGTCATTTGCCCCCGTCAGCCGCCGTATTAAACTCTGTTACCGGTTTGTATTCCTGGTTCGCTGCAGACGGGAAATAAAACATCCCACTGTTACTACCCTCAGAATAAAGAGCATCTCCTTCTTGCTGTGCGATGCTGAATGAGTGTGTTTTCATGTTTTCTCATTCGTATCTCCGTATCCTCGATAGCAGGTAGCTTAAAGCTAAATCATGTGCTTTATAACCTCTGAACAGAAACCGTTCAATCTGTTCACGATGCAGGAGTTTTGCTCCAAATCATCTCCAGTAAATAGAATATCTAACAAACAATCCAAGATAGTATCACAAGCTTCAGCTGCAGACATAAATGTGAAAATGTCGCCCTCTAGTGTCTGTTGTTGTACTTGCATGTTCGTTTTCATTTCAGTGTAATCTTATTCACGCCTCCCGAGTTTCTGGCAACTAAGAATGATTTTCTCGACCCTAAAGTGGCTTCAAGGAGCAGAAGACGAGAGAAACAGCAGCTTTTTACCAGCTTGTTGTCGTCCAGGTTGGACCGGACGTCGACCGGTGACGGAGGTTCAGCTGCATTCAAACCAAGTTTAGTTTTATAGCTCGATTTAAACAACGAGCAAAAGACAGACAACAGAAAACAGGAAAACAAATACAAGATGCTAAAAAATAAAGCCTCCTAGAACAGGACAGTAACTCGTCAATAAAGTTCTGACATGGAACATTCATAAGACAGTTAAGTATCAGGACCTAAACGTTCTGATGTTTCCACTGAAGTGTCAGGTGTTGTTACACAGGGAATCCGCTTTCTCTCTATAAATAATGAAGTTTGCTTTGGTCCCTCTGAGAGAAAACAACTTCTACATGAATATTCTCTTCAATCACATCACATTTAATCATTACTCAGTTGTTGGTACACGTCTTCAGGGTAAATACTCATAAAGGATGGATAGATAGATAGATAGATAGATAGATAGATGGATAGATAGATAGATAGATAGATAGATAGATAGATAGATAGATAGATAGATAGATAGATAGATAGATGGATAGATAGATAGATAGATAGATAGATAGATAGAATTAGAATAAAGGAAGTAAAGACACAAGTGACACACGAGGAAAGGCGATTTCAAAATAAAACAGGAAATAGCTCAAATAAACAGACGGCGACATAACCTGAGAATCACGGGAGACAAAGACGGAGAACATAAAGAGTTGAATCAAAACAAAACCAGAACCATAAATCCACTATGTTGCATTCTTATGAGAGCCTTAATGACCTCTGATTTGTCTCCTTCAGTCCACAATTTGCTTCGAGAACCCTGAAAAGTTAGAACATCATTTGCATTCTGTCTTGCTGCTGTATCTTCCAGACGTCATCGAGGCCTCAGATGACAGACTGTTACACAGAACGTTTCATGATGTTCCTGTAACGTCATATATCAGATGACAGAACGTTCTTTGTAAAACATTTCCACAGTGCAATACATGAACAAAAATAGAACATTCTGCCTGTAGTGTTCTGAAAATGTTTTGGGGATGTTGTTGAGACAACACATTATGGATTCTGTAAAACGTTCCCCCATCGTTCCACAGTGTTCCAGGAAAGGAAGAACGTTCTTAAACTGACATTTAACAAACATTTTCAAGATGTTACTGAGGCCTCAGGTGACAAAACATTTTACATCCAGAATGTTTTATACTGTGATGTATTAAAGGTAGAACACGTTGTAGAACGTTCTTCTATCAGATGTTTCCATTAAGACAATGTTCTCAATGCAACATTCAGAAAATGTTTTCAAGACGTTCTCGGGACGTCAGATGACAGAACGTTCCTGCACCACGAAATGTTAACAAAGGTGGAACATTCTGCCGTTAATGTTCTGAAAATGTTTTGGGGATGTTACTGACGGAACACATTATAGAATCTATAAAATGTTTCCACAGTGTTACCTGACAACAAAGGGAGAACGTTGTGAAACCAACATTCAGAAAATGTTTTCTAGATGTTCTCGAGACGTTGGATGACGGAACGTTGTTTGTTTCTTAAGACGTTCCTGTGATGTGACGGCAGTAATTAATGTGGAACATTCTGCCGGATATCCTCAAGAAACACACTGCAGAACCTTTAAAACGTTCCCACAACGTTCCTGAGTGTGACATGATAACGAAGGGAGAACGTTCTCAGGGTAACAGGCTTTGAGAACGTTAGAGCATAATGATCTATCAACGTCATCACCAAACACTTTTGGAATGTTTTCAGTCAGAACGTTCTGGGAACTCAAACAAAACTTCTGGCGAGAAACGTTAGCAGAACTTTCTTGGAATGTTTCCAGAATCAAACACTCCAGCTGGGTCTCTGTTCTCCAGGAGGCGGCGCTGGAGGCGATCTCGGCGCCGCGGTCCGGAGACACCACCAGCCCCACGGCGACAGGAAGGTGGTCCGGCTGTCGGAGCTCCTCAGCGTCCTCAGACTCCCGCCCAACGCCGAGGCCTGTCCCACGGTCAGCCCGCCGCCGCCGCCGCCGCCGCCTCGCTGCATGCATGAGTGAAGGCAACGCAAATGCTACAAGCTGCTGTCTGTTTGCAGGAGAACATGGCGGCGTTCTGCGTGGAGACCCAGGACAGGACCATGGTGTTCGCTGCGCTCAAAGACGAGTGCGTGGACTGGGTGGACAAGCTGTGCCACAGCACGTTCCAGGTATCGTTTAGCATTAGTGCCGTGGTAACCATCGCTGCAGGTAGAACGCCAGCCGGCAGAACGCTGGTGTGTAATCCACTTTTGTGTCTTTCACAGAGAGGAGGTGGCTCGGGCTCGACTCAGCGCCACATGGAGGAGAACCAGATATACGCCTCAGCAGATGAAGGTGGTCCGAGTGTTTTCACGTCCAGGTCTCCTCGTTCTGTTGAGCTTCTGGCTGTTTTTCCTCACTGTGGCTCATTATAAAGTCCTGCAGCTCTGTGGAACCAGAACCACACAAAGACTGGAAACACGTCTTTTCTGCACTGTAGAAAACAGTATGGCAAAAATAATAATGTTGGAAGTTTGAAAGGCATGTTATCTTCTTAAGGATGTCATCCAGATCCATTAGCTAGGAACATAACAAGAAAGAAAGAAAAACCAGGTCTCTTCAGTGCAGAAAGAGCTGCTGTATAATAATAATATATAATATAATAATATAATAATATATATAGTGGTGTGTGACGGGCCGTTCCATCTGGAAAAGTAACTTCAAATTGTGGTTTTTCATCTAAATTATCGGATTTTAAACCATTCACACAAGAACATGTAAAAAAAAAGGGAAAAAAAGCGTTCGAGGAGAAGTCTGGAGACGTGGAGACAGCTCAACATCTGCAGGACGAGGAGACCACATGAGCTCCAGTGGTGGAAACATCTGTGGACACAAAATGGTGGACATGTTCAAATTTTCTTCAGCCTAAAAAAGTAAACACTAAACTTCCATAGATGTGCAGGACTTCATATTGTAATAAAAAATGAGCCCACAGTGAGTAAAAATGATGGTTTTTAAGTTCAGAAGGTCTGATGTTTTGTTGTTCATCTATCCGCCCCAACCTCCTCCCTGTCTGGATCAATGTCACTTTGTGTCACAGCTACTTTGGCCACTGCTGAAACGACTGACGTGACCACTAGAGGTCGCTCAACAAAATAACGGGAGGACAGCCTCGCATGATGCAAAATCAGACTCACTCTTTAAAACTAAAACTTCTACACCTGAGAACACACCTGTAAATGAGAGCTGAATGCTTCCCCGTATGTCACGTTTACACTGATGCACTTCATTCGTTGGTTTCTTTCGCTGCAAAATCAAGTTGTCGCAATTTTAAAGGTGCTTAAAGGATCACACAGTGTTCTGATTCATCAAACTTGAGCTCGTTTGTTCGACTCTCCTGCGTCTTCACAGCCCCGGAGTTCTGGGTGGTGATTCAGAGGACCGACGCGGCGACACGGTGCGGCCTGCAGGGGGCGTACTGGCTGCAGGTGGACCGAGAGGCGCTGCTGCTGAGGGAAGCGCAGAAGAAGAAGGTTGTCCGAGAGTGGCCGTACGAGCTGCTGAGGCGATACGGGAAAGACAAGGTGCAACAGGACGGCCACGGCTCTGAGCTTTTCTGTTTTCACTCCCAAATATGAAAAAATGAAGAAAATTGCTCTTTTTTTCATTTTGAACCAAAAAACTGACTCTTGCTTCTGCTGGTGACTGCAGATGTTGTGTTTACAAAATCTTAACACACATGAACTAAAATAATCTTCCTATATATTTAACCAACGAGCTACATGTAGGTTTATCTGAAGATGCAGATGAATTCACAAAGCGTCCTGTTCTGCTGACGGCACAGTTCTAAGAGTTCCACTTTTATTTTGACAGTTTAACGTTACTTCCGGGTCACCCTCTCGTTACGTTTGCGGTTTTTACTTCCTGAAATGAAGCCGACAGATAAAAATGAGACTAAATGAAAAAGGAGCCGTTTCTTCCCTGCTCGATTTATGACATTAACAGACAGTGAATCAATGAAAGAAGAGTCTGTTTTCTGTTTGTGGTTGGTCATAGTTGGAAAAACAAACTTTACTTTGATGCACAGACGTGAACTTTGACGAGTGCCGTTTGCGTCGGACTGAGTTCTGTTCTTGTGGTCTCCTTCCAGCTGACGTTGACCATCGAGGCAGGCCGGCGCTGCCACTCCGGTCCTGGAACCTTCACCTTTGAGACGCAGCAGGCCGAGAACATATTCTCCCTGATCCAGAGCACCATCAAACAGAAGACTTCATCTGCAGGCAACCAAAGCCTGGAGGCTGAGAAAGCGCCGGCGGCCAACATTCAGGCTCATTCTCCTCTCCCCAAAATACCCGACGTGACCGGCATGGCCGCCCTCCTGGAGAACCAGCTGAGGACATCTCCGGCGTCGGAGAAGCGTTCACCCGTTCAGGAAGACTTGGTGGGTAAACCAGAGTCGGCTCAGCCGGCTCCCATCACCCTCATGCCGCTCCCATTGGTCCCCACGCACGAGGGAGGTCATCACGGCGGCCAATCGGAGGCCATCTATGCCGACCCAAGCGACTGCATCCGGCCGGTGCTGAAACCAACCACGGCGCTGTACGTCGACCCTGCGAGCGTTCTCCCGCTGAAACCCCCGAGTTCAAGAGAGCCTCCGGTTCCTGCCTCCTCGGTTCCACGTTCCAGCGCCAGGACCGTGGACTCCGTCTACTCAGAGGTGTTCGACAAAATCAGCCCGGACCAGAATAAACAGGTCGACGTCCTGCAGAGCAAAGCAAACAGGGAACCCATTTACGCTGAGCCCATGAGCAACACGGACAAGCCGTCTGAAAGAACCCAAACCAAACCCGACCCGTTCGAGCACCTTTATGCTAAAGTCTGCAAGACGCCTCCATCGTCGAGTCCCACGACGTGTCCCGGCGCCGCCGCTGTCAGCGCCACCACGCCGAGCGATGAGTCTCTGGATGACGTCATCTATGAAAACCTGGGTATCATTTAAGGCTGACGCCAGAAATCGGACCTGCACGCAACCCAAAGAATTCACTGAGAAACCCGACATTCAGGCACGTCTCTGTGCTTCTGTTAAAATGTATTTTTTAAATTGTAATTTCACATGTTGACGTCTGTTCGAAAACAAACCGAGGAAACAGACCAAGCTGCAGCTAGCTCTGGTCCGGTTTCCCAGAATAGAGTGACTGAGGTGCATCTGAAGGTACTGTGGACTCCTGAACCAGATTATCACCCGGTTCCTTCACAGCTGCTGTTATCTGGATCAAACAGCAGTAACGTGCAAATACTGAGAACTTTCTATCACGGTGATGACAATCGTCTGACTTTGTCAAACCTCATTGACCCTGAACAACCGAAGTCAAGGAAGCAGCTTGTGGTCTAATCAGAGGCAATGTTCTGATCCGATCAAGGTATTTTCAACTCAGCAGTATCAGCTTTAGTCCAGTTCTTTGTTTACGTCTGCTGTCGCACAGGTGTCAGTAACGGTGAGGTAAACTTCCAGCAGGACACATTCTGATTACGTTTCCTTCAGTCATCAGCCACAGCATCGATCAGTGATGAATGATCCCAGTGAAGCATGAAGTCGACTGGACTTCTCCTTCATGTAAATGTGGAGCGGAGCTCTGTGGCCGTGTGGAGCTGTCATAAAACAGCTGGACTAGCTGCTGCTGAACTAACGTGAGGACAGGTTGATGGCTTGTTTCTCTCCTCAGATCTTTTCAGAAATACTTTTCGCTGAACGGTTTTCGTAATAAAACCGCGAGTTTGCAGCCGAGCCGCCATGTTGGTTCTACGCCTCGGAGGTGAAACGGCTGTCATGTGACCACCTACTGACCTGCTAGTGCACGCCTACCAAGTGGGTGACCCTGTGGATGCGTAGCACCACGCTACATTCAGACGCTACGTCTGCTAACAGAACAACCAGCAGCACCTCAGACTCCTGCCAGAGGAGGTGAACACGACATCTGCAATGACCTGAAACTTCTTCAGACACAGCAAATTACAGCATCACTTCTGTGGGAACATTCCCTCCACTGTGTGTTCGTAAACCACAGAACCATGACCTGACCCTGCTGCGTTTCAGGTGGTGGGCGGAGCTAAACGTCAGACCGCTAGGCTAACTTTGTCTGGGACTTTACTGCTTGTAACTTTATCAGTTACCTCCATGTGCTGTGTCAGCGTCTGTTCGACCTCTAGCTGGAACCACGTGACAGTATTTGGACAGCGAGCGAGCGCTGGGTCCGGCCCGACAGCAGACCCGTTTGCGTTGCATGATGGTCGAGCTTCCACTCACAGCTTAATGACGACAACTCATCACTCAGGTTTCCGCTGAGGATGCTTTTGCCTCCTGAGAACCGGACCTGAGCGACATGTGTCTGTGTTGCATATTCACACAGTAACATCAGTGAGCAAACCTTTTAACCAGTGACACGTGACAGTGTTTTACATTTCACCTTCCTGCTGCAGTAGAGGTATGCTGTGTGCACATGTGTGTGTAAATAGAGATGAAACGGCTGTTGTCACTGTTTTGTTACATAAAGTGTTTTTCATTTTTGCCTTTTATTAAATCAGTCTCATAAACGAACACAACTTTTCTACCCGACAGTGTATGATTATGAAAAACATGTTGCCCTCCTGGTGTGGAGGGATACACAGTTCAGTCTTTTTATTCATTCATGGGTTATATCCTAAAGCAGCTGTGGGGTTTGTTCCATCTCACATCATCAGGAACCTTCTGCTTGATCATCTCTGATTTGCTTTAAACTTTATTATCATAAACGATGAATATCTGAACTGGCATTTGTCAGACTTTATCCTCATATATCAAATACTTTCCAACATGTATACATATATATTTATATGACCCACTTTCAGCACATTTTTCACACGTTGAAATTTGAGGCTGTTTGAATGAAAATATCTCTAAAATAAAATAATTATGTCTTTATTGAATCATAAACTTTCCTCATATTACAAAACGTTCTTTGTCAGACATTTGCTGAGGGAACATTTTACTGTGAAACCTCACAGGACAGAACTTCCTTCCTTCTCCTGTAGTGTTATATGTTGTAAAGGTGGAACGTTCTACCTGCAGTGTTCTGAGGATGTTTTGGGGATGTTGTTAGCAGAACACATTACAGAGTCTATAAAATGTTCCCACAGCGTTGCATAATGACAAAGGAAGAGCGTTCTCAGTGCAACATTTAGTAAACATAATAGTCTAAAAATGTTTTCCCCAAACATTTCTAGAACATCTTTCGTTCTCCTGCCTTTAAGGAGAACGTTCTGGGATCAGAAAGAAAACCTCCTGCTAAAAAAACATTCGCAGAACTTCCACAGAACCTTTTTGGAACGTAGACGAGTCTAGCTGGGTAATCTCTGGAGAACACGACAGCGGCGGTTCTACCCCGTCAGCACACTAATGACCTTTTTAGGACGCCACATTAAAACATTCCTGAAGGTAACTGCTGATGAACTTTGAGGGTTCTGCGTCGGCTCGGACCTGCTTCATGTCGGTGCTGTGAGCCACCACATGGGGGCGCTGCAGCACAACGACCGCTCTGCATCTCTACTCACAGAGACGTCTTCTGTCAGCAGGACTCAGTCAGGACGATGGAGACCAGAGAAGAAATGAATAAAAGATGAACTTCTTTAATTATTCATTTTACTAAAATTACAACAATAAATAAATAAATGAATTCCAGGGCTTGTACAGAATCTGGTGAGCGTAAACGATGTGTTTTCGGTGTTTCTTTTTAAAATGGGACGTAAAGCAAAGCGATATATCGATGACATCAGGATTCTGAACTCAGCTGATCACAGACGATGAGTTCAAGGACCGTCTGAAAGTCGAAAACCCAGTAATTCCTCTGATTCTTCTGAAGGACACAAAACTACCAGCGAGTGACAAATGAACAGACACAAGAACCACCGAACGACACAAAACCACCAGAAATCAGACACAAAACCACCGTAAAAACACACAAAATCACCACAAAGAGTCATACAATGAACACTGAGACACTAAGCAGCACACAGACCGAAACCAAAGGAGACACAACATCACCACACAGAGACACTACATGACAAAAAAAAAGACACAAAACTGCCACCAAGAGACGCCGAACAACACAAAATTACAACAAAGAGACATCAAATGACCACCATGAGACACTAAGCAGCACACAGCTACAACAAAAAGACACAAAGTATGACACAAAACCACGAGCAGACGGAAGGAAACCAAAAGAAAACACAAAACCACCACAAAGAGTCATAAAATGAAGACCATGAAACGCATTCTCTGGCTGAAGTAGACCTTTAATGTTGGTGCTCGGACATGAATAACCTTCAAAGTACATTTGGAGTGAAATCGTCCTTTAAACCCATAAGCGGCGCACTTTAGTGATGATTGGCTGCAGTAGGTGGCGCTGTCCAGCACAAAGGCTCCTGTTACCTGCCGGACAACTTCCGGGTTCGGACCAGCTGACTCCGCCCACCAGGGTGACATCATAGCCAATCCTCCAGCGCCCCCTGCTGGTGCAGCCCCACGCTGACAGGTGAGGACACCAGTCTGTTCAAGTCTGTTGTGCAGAAACATCTGCTCTTCTGGAGGCCCTCACAGAACATTACAGCGACTGTTTAAGGAGGCGTTCAAAGCTGGTAGGTGAAACTCAGTTCTGCTGATGGTGACCAGAGGCTTGGTGCAGAAGCACTGAGGCCTCCAGACGGCGAGAGATGTTTGAAAACGTTTTGACAGCGTGTCAGTTTAAATCTGTGAACATTCCTGGAACACTGTGATGTTTGTGAGCCACCAGCAGGCTAAGAGGGCTGTGATGAGACTCCAGCAGTCCTGGAGTCTCCGGTCGGACCGGTCTAGCTGCTGGGTCGGCGCTGAAGCTGTGATGGCTCCAGTTAGCAGTGTGGTTCTGTCAGTCCGGCCTGGTTCATCCTCTGGGATAAAGCTGAACGTGCACGTCACTGAAGGCGACTTCTGATGCTTTGAATTGGATCTGTCTGGTGCATACGATGCTGAAGTGAAATAAGTAGAAGCAAAATGAGTGAGGAAGGTGTTCTGGTGTCGCTCTAACTGGCAGCGACTGGTTTGGCCGTACTGGGGAAGACGCTGTGGTTCTGCCTGGAGCGTGTTTGAAGATGAAGGCGGCTGATCCCTTCGTCATCTTGGACCATTCTGACACTTTGGTCACACACCTGTCTGAGCACACCTCAGGCCCAGGCAGCACGGTGAGGCGTTTAGGGAACGTCTGTACATTTAGGGTCTGTCGATGAGCGGATGTTCAGACTGTGAGGTGTCGCTTGTGACGAGGCCCGGTCTGTGCTGCCTCCAGGTCACGCCTTGTGCTAAGAGCAGGTACAGGTGGACCGGTGGCCTCACGGCTGGAGGGGTGTTTCTGTGAGGCGTTCAAGGTCCATGTGGAGTTTGCATGTTCTCCCTGTGCCTGTGTGGGTTTTACCGAGAGCTTCAGCTTCCTCCCACAGGTTAGGTAGTGGTTCTGAATAGTCCGTAGGTGTGAATGTCAGTGTGCTGGTTGTCTGTCTGTGTGTTTTCCCTGTGATGGACTGGTTACCTGTCCAGGTGAACCTGCCTGAAAGGATAAGCAGTGCATAGAGAACACATGGTAGTAATGCTTCTGTGAACAACAAATCTCTCCTTGCATGGATGACAACCAGCTAATATATTAAACTGAGCTTCAGTTCCACATCTAATAATACTTTAGCATCTTTAGCTCTAATATTAAACGAGGTCCATAATTATTGTCACAGTTAATTATCAGTAAATGTTCAAGAGGCTTCAGCTTCTACTGGGTTAAGTCGCACCATGACACTTGTTGGGCAGCTCGTAGCTCCAGTCATGTTTTTACTGAATCAAATTCACATCATTCGTTACGTACACAGCTGTGCGTGCTACAGGGCATCGGAAAATGTTTTGTGGCCACAAAACCACGAGCCTGCAGAGGTAAAGACGGTATATACAGAAAATGTGACCTGGGTTTAAAGATTCAGATTTGTTACACATCCAACGGCTACAGATTAAAATCTGAAGTGACTCTTGTGTTGTTGTTTTGTACAGAGAAAGCTGAAACCACAAGTTTATTAAAAGACATAAGACCTGTTTTTTCTCCACATCTGACATTAAATCAGACTCAAGGTTTCTTATTTCAGCTCAGTCCGGATCACCAGCATCACTTCTATTTGCTAAACACCAGAGTAGTGAGAGACTGTTAGACGTCATCATGCAGCCGGTTCTGCTCTGGGTCTGGGTCTGGGTCTGGGTGTTCTGTCTATACGTAGACACCGTCTCAGATCAGTCCTGGTGGCTGAGGGTGCTTCATGCACTGATCTGTCTTCTCTTAAGACAAATATAAGCAATTCATCAACCTTAGGCTCTCAAAGCTGATCAGTAGTATTATATCTTGCCTTCTGCTCCTTCTCCTCTATGATTGGGTGCCTGGGATGGTTGACCAACGTGGGTGGAGATGAAGGTCGTGCCCAGGCCTTGGTTTGCTGCCTCCACCGTGGTCTCTCCACTCAGCTACCCAACCTCCTCCTTCTGCTATGAACAGTTCAAATTACAGACAGTCTGTGATAACTACACAGAACCGGGCCGCTGTCTCATGTCAGCTCATGAAGGTGAAGCACAGATTCAAAGGAGGTGGTGAACCTGGACGTTTCACATCTCCTCCCGTCACCATACCAGCCTGATGTTTATCTGTTTGCATCCAGCCTGCTGCCGATGGAAATGTCACATTGCTCGCATGGATTCAAAGGAAACGGGACACGCCTGTCGCTGCTCACGGGATAATGAAGTCTGTTTCATTTATTTCATCGGCTCCCTTCAGGACAGCAGGTTTGGAGGTTTCTGATCTCAGAAACCTCCGTCTCCACATGTACATGTATTTAACATCCTGTTTACTGTCGAGTGAAAACATGTTTGTAAAAGCTGTGCTGCACCATATAAGACTGTACTGGCAGCAGCGTCCAGTCTTCTTGTTTGGACCTGTGCAGTCCATCCTGCTCTTTCAGCAGATCACACTGATGGAAGCGTCTGAACTTCCACCTTCAGGTCTCTGCTTGACTTTGGTTGGACCGCCCAGTGACGGTCAGACTGGTCCTGAAGACGCTGTGGTGCTGCCTCGGCTGTTTGCTTGGGGTCTCTGTGTGTGTGAAAGGTGAAGCATCAAGTTGCTCGTGCTGAGAAGCAGCTCCGCGGCATGATGCTGCCGCCACCGTGCTTCACTGTAGGGATGCTGTTCAGCAGACGTACGCTGGCTCTGAGATGAACACGATGTTTAGTAGTTAAAGTGGAACGTGAGCGTTCTTAGTGTCTGAAACCTTCGTACCAACCCGGTAGCACAAGCACCGGACGCCACGCCGACATCAGCATCCCACAATGCAATGCAGTAGTGACACGCCTAATGAGCTACGGTGCTCAGAGTCCAGGGCAGCTCAGCTCTGTCCTCTGCAGCTCAAGTCAGAGATGCAAACGGAGCGTAACAACCTCAGGATCCTGTCTGGTATCAGGCAGCAGACGCCTGCACAGGAAGAAGGAATGAGGTTGGTGGGTTACC